CCTCCCCCCTTTACAACGTCCCTCCTTAAGAAAGTAAAGAGCAACTATCAAAAAAAAATTTTCTCAGGCCAAGTTAATACAATACATAAACACAAATACGACACCACCCCCTGTTGGGGAATCCCCAACAACGATGTGCCCTGGGGTATATATAATAGTTCGTAAGTTCTCATGAAACAGGAAAAACCACGGAAAGTCAACATCTCTCAGAGGGCCAGAACGGAAATACGACTCCCCCCTCTTTACAAGGTCCCTTTTCTCAACCCAAATACGACATTCCCCCAGCGACCAAGAACATACGACCCCCTCCCCCCTCCCCCTGTTAGGGAATCCCTAATAACGATGGACGGGGGAGAGGGGTATATAGCGCATGTGGAACGAGAAATACCCGAAAAATAACCGGAAGAAGTTTTACCAAAGCGGCAAATTTCTCTCAACGGCAAATATGCCCCCTCCCCCCCCCTCTTCCCGCTGGGGATTCCCAAGGTACGACTTGGTCTGATTGAAACGCTTGATACTGGTTTCTGGGATGAAGAGAAGTTGTCCGCCGACAAAAAGTGGCCCTTCTTTGCGAACTTAGGCTGTCAGCCTCATACAATGAAGGGATTTCTAAAAACGTGCTAGTCGTGCGTCTTCTGGTGAATGCGTGGATTTGAACCTAGCGCTGGAGACCTTACGGTAGGAGCTGAGACAACCGGAGGTTCAGTTTTCTCGAGGGAAACTCACTTTCATTGTTCTTACATTCTCAATCAGCTGGAATTTGATACTCAAGGTATAGTTGACAGAAAACCGAAGTGAGTCGCTTTGTAAATATCGGAGCCTCGCACGATTACGTTGGAAAAGATATGCCGATGAAAGCAGAGCGATTGGAATTGCTAACCAGCAGCAATAAATTGCTATGGCAAATGCGCCTGAAAATAAACTGTTTGTGAATTGACTTCTCTTCAACTGAATTCTTTACTCTTTTACATGAACATTCTGTTGCTGTATGTCACTATTGCGACCATAAAGACACACGCCACTATGTGTGGGTAGTGCGGCTCAGGAAACGCAATTGTAGTAGCAAAGGAATCTGTCAGCAACGAAGAAAGCAATAGGACCGTTGGAAATGCTCCAGGAGGCTCTCTTTTTTTCTACTTGAAAAATGAACCACCCGCACGGTTGAGAAACACGGGCACCAAAACGAAGGATCAGGCAGCGTAGAAAGGAGAGATCGCAGAGAGCGAGACAGTGCACGTCGAAGTTCACGAGATCTCATTCCCCTCATTGTCAGAACTGCTAAATAAGAGCTACAGGGAATGCGCATTTGGAGCATGAAATTCGATACTTGGAA